ATATTTCGACAATTAGTTGGGAGTCTAAATTACCTTACTATTACTCGGCCTGATATCTCTTTTACAGTTCAACAAGTTAGTCAACTTATGCAAGCTCTCCGTCATCTCCACTTGGTGGTTGTTCGTCGCATCATTCGGTACCTTCTAGGAACATCTACTCGTGGATTGTTCTTTCCAAGTGGTTCTCCTATTCGTCTTAATGCTTTTAGTGATTCTGATTGGGCGGGATGTCTTGATACTCGTCGTTCGGTCTCTGGTTGGTGCATGTTTCTTGGAGAGTCATTGATATCTTGGAAGAGTAAAAAGCAAGATCGTGTGTCAAAATCTTCAACAGAGGCTGAATATCGATCCATGTCTACTGCTTGTTCCAAGGTTGTATGGCTTCGTGGATTACTTCCTGAGATTGGATTTCCCCAATCTCATCCTACTCCTCTCCACGCTGACAATACAAGTGCTATTCAGATTGCTACTAATCTAGTTTTTCATGAGGGGAACAAACACATCGAAGCGGATTGTCATTATATACATGAAGCTGTAGATAAATGAGTCATTACTCTTCCACATGTGTCCAGTAATCTTCAAATAGCTGATGCGTTTACAAATTCCATGGCACGGCAACGCCATCAGTTTCTAGTAGGCAAATTGATGCTTCTTGATCCACCAACATCAATTTGAGGGGGGATGTTAGCATGATAGATAACTAAATGATTGTATATATTAATGTAATTATATAGTGACATAAATTAGCACGATCATATACATTTGTTGTAGAATAGTATGAATAAATATTGTGATAGAATAGCTGATTTGAAGGGATAGAAAGACAGATTTAGAGGGATTCAATGGCAGATTTGTATAGATAGAATAGATGATCTTTAGGGATAGGAATGGCGGATCTTTAGGGATGTGTAATCTTTATTTTCTTTATATAATGGAAAGACTCTCTCACTTTGAGAGGTATTCAGCTGAAAATAGACAAGGTAAACATTGATTAAAATGTAAAGGCATAAGAGAAAAATGTTCCTTTTCATTTGACTTTAATTTGTATTTATGCCTCCGAATTTTTAGTGTGCACAAATAGACATTAAACTAGTATAAAGTTGAACAAGTAGACATATGCATCCTACACGACCAAATTATTTCTATGTGACGTCCTCTGTGTATTATTCCACGTATTATGCACATGTCTACTTGTTCAATTTTATATAAATTGAAGTGCCTACTTGTACACATTCAAAATTAGAGGTCATAAATTTCAGTTGAGACTAGTTAATGTGAAAATTTATGTATTTTGCCAAATTTAAATCATATAGATTTACTTTGTTCATGTATATATATGTGCTTGTCATGTATGGTTGAAATGCATGTAAAAATGAGCTAAAATTTCAGTCATGTTTGTCTGAATGTCTTTTTGTTCTTCAAATTCAAACACTCAAATATACGCCAAATAAGCTTAAATTTAAAACATAAGTTCTATATATTATCAAGAACAAAACTTTCCTTTAATTCTCTAGCCTTTCTTGTAGATCTGGAAAGAAGCAAGTACTGACTGAGGAGGAAAGTGTATTCGAGAATTTCCTGACATATATAGTAATCAATGGTTTGCAAAGAATGCAACATTATTGTCGGAGTCCCGCATCGTTTGTGGGATGGGAATATGGACTCCGTATAAGGTCTTCAGTAATATAAAGAATTAGTTGAAGATGTTAATGAGATTGAGTTGGGAAATGTTCCTTTGACTCTGGTATATGTGGCAAAGAAACATTGCAATCCTCAATCTTATTAACATCAACAATTTTTTTTTTAAAAAAATGCTGGATGATATCTTGAAGTAATGATGTTGCAATCTCTCACTAAATATAGAAATTGGATGATCAAGAGAAGAAGTAGAAGAAGAAATAGAAGTGATTTGGACAAGGTGAATTTCCTATATACTTGGAACTATTATTGTCTCGATCCGTAATCTACTTGGATTTTTCACGATACTTATGTGGTTTAGTTAGAGTGGGCTAGATCCCATATTGGTTGAGAATGAACTTGTGATCTACTTATATGAACCTGAACAATCCCCCCTCATGAGCTAGCTTTTTGGGGTTGAGCTAGGTCCAGATGCCATTCCTTTACATGTTTCATGTTCTCGTGTTGTTTTCACATTATATAGGACCAGGTGGTGGTGCCATTTAATTATGTCAACCGATATTCTTATAGAGCTCAGATCCATATGAGGCTCGTCCGCACAGCTGAATCTCCTAACACCTTGTCTCCTCTTGTCTTCTTGTCCACGTCATTGGCTTGAGATCCGATTGTACTATTTTCTCTTCCTCTTCCTGAGTCCCAAGGGCATCTTGTCTCTTTTCTTGCCACGAACACCTGGACGAGTTTTTCTCAATGCAATATACTCACACTAACTCAACAATCAAAGCTGTAATAGAGAAAATGAGGACTCACACAAACTACATTTTGATGTGATCTCTGTGTATAAGGTGACTTATATGTTTCTACTGATATAGGTATTGAAATGTTTGAGTTTTTTTTGTTTTTTTAATGGATTTATGATTCTTCCATGTGTATATGGATTTTTTTAAATTTAAAAGCACTAGAGGAGAGCCAAACAAAAGCGGATCTAGAATTTTGCGTGAAGTTGTGTTTTGTGACTTTTGATACAAAACATAACGTTGTTATATATTTGTTAAGAATTACCTAAGAATATATGTAGTTCAACTTTTCCCGTAAGCATAAAGGGTGTGCAAAAATCGAAACGACCGATAAACCGAATCGATAAAAGTGTTATTGGGTTAACGGTTTTATAAAAAAAATTATTGGGTTATCGGTTCGGTATTGGTTTTTAATATTGGGTTATTGGGTAAACTGATAACCCATTAAGACTAGTAATGTACTAATTTTACTTGTACATAAATATTATATACTAGGTAATTTACCCACGCTTCGCGTGGGCATAAATGATTTTTCTAAGCTTTTGAACAACCTTTCCAATAATTGACTGTTATAAGAAAAAATTTAGTAGATTTTAAAAACATTTCAACAGAAATTAAATGATTTGACATTATCACATATCTCAAGAATTGTAAATATATAATGAATGATTAAAAATATCTTCATATCTATCATTTTTATCTTTTACATAATTTATCATAATATATGTTTGATGATATAATTGTCTTGTTAAAACTTAGTGATGTTTTTATGTAGCGATTAAACACCATTTTTTTTCTATTTTTTGTACTTGAAAAATACAGAATCAGATAATTTTATTGTTAGAATAACTCCTTGTGAAAAAAAAATTATGTGAAAGTTTTCGATAATCAATATTAGTTATAAATAAGTTAAGACCGTTAAAAATGTACACCACAAAAACATAAATAATTTTTTTTGGAGACAATCTACTTGTCTGAGGTCAAACGTTCACCACTTTTCGTTATTGTTACTTTGTTACTCTACAAAAATTTATAGAAGGAGAAAAATAAATTTGAAACAACAACAAAATAATTTAGAAATTTATTCTTCATTAAACTGTTGCTCTGAAGGCCCTTCTAGATGCTTCATCAATGCAACTTTACGACTTTTTTAGAAATACGTATGTATAATTGTTGCATTATGAAAGTACAAGTAGATCAAAATGTTGGATTGTAGACTCATGTTAAATAAATATTCTCGAACATTAAAAAACTAAAAATGAGTCTAACCTAGATAACTCAAATGCTCAGCAATGACTTGGGACATGAATGACAACAAATATATGTTAATAGACATATCTTTTGTAGCTTAAGATATTACTTTTATTTAGAGCAGGTTTTGTTTCATATCCTCCAAATTAAGCTTGCCGAAAATAGTCATAGCTCACAACAAAAATATTTAGAAGAGATGAATGTGAAGGAAAAAAAGAAAAACATTAAAAGGGCGAAAGTTTTGTCCAAGTGAGATCAAGTACATACCAAACGAAAAATAATCAATACAATTTTAAGGAGACAACGAAACAATGAGAAAAAACTTATATTAAAGGGAGTAAACTATGAGATATTCAATGATGATAACAAATTATTCTAACCAAAAAAGTTCTCATGTTTTGAAATAACATACCTCAAAAAATTGATTAACACTTCAATCAACTTTCAATTCTTAAAGTACTAATAATATCCATTGATAAAATTTAGTAAAAATAGATAACAACAACATAAAACCCCAAAAATATGGGCATGCAAAGTTACTAAATGTCAAGGGATTTTATAAAGAACACAAAATTTCATCCTTGTATGTGAAGGAATGATGTTGTTGGTGGAGAAATTAAAGATTTGTAAGGGGTTTTTTTTATTGTACCTTCAACAATTCCAGTAGAGAAAACTTGCCTGAATACTCAATTAACGTTTGTTAGTTAATTTGTACTAACAAATACGTATAACAATAATTTTTCAGAAACATAAACAACAAAGTTTAAAGAATGTACTAAAAAATAACAATTAATAATATAAGCATAAATTAATGACGGTAAAAAACATACCAGGATCTGTAACAATAAAATGAAACACAATGGAAAAAATCGAGCCCACTGAATGCACAGTGCCCCATTAAGGAAATTATTAGAAGAAGAATCAGAATTATCAGAATAAGAAGAAGAAGAAGAAGAAGAAGAAGAAGAAGAAGAAGAAGAAGAAGAAGAAGAAGAAGAAGAAGAAGAAGAAGAAGAAGAAGAAGAAGAAGAAGAAGAAGAAGAAGAAGAAGAAGAAGAAGAAGAAGAAGAAGAAGAAGAAGAAGAAGAAGAAGAAGAAGAAGAAGAAGAAGAAGAAAGGAGAAGAAGAAGGAGAAGGAGAAGAAGAAGAAGGAGAAAAAGAAGAAGAAGAAGAAGAAGATGAGGAGGAGAAGGAGGAGGAGGAGGAGGAGAAGCAGAAGGAGGAGAAGGAGTAGGAGGAGAAGAAGGAGGAGGAGGAGAAGGAGAAGGAGAAGAAGGAGAAGGAGGAGAAGAAGGAGGAGAAGAAGGAGAAA